CAGAATAAAATGATTGGGTCTCTATCACATTCTGTTATAATGCTTACAGTTCTTAATTTAAGCATTTAGCATATTAAAAGAAAGGCTGGAGATATGACGTAATTTTGGAATGTTATGGGTTGAATTATAATTATTGCAGCATTTCATTTCGTGCTCAATTAATACGTGGAAAGTCTCAAGTTCGATCCTGAGAAAAGTCGGCACCTTTCGGTTCGAAACTGGCCTTAGCTGTATTTGATCTACACCTGAATGTAGAGTAACATGATCTGTGTAGCCTTTTTACTGACAAGGCGATTTTTCAACCACGACCTTTATTAAAAGTCCAATGACCAATGAATACACTGAATGTATCCGCGTTTCATCAGTGCGTTTATACTAGTCACACAAGCCTTGCATACTCAATAAAAAGCATCTTTCCATTTGTGTTTGGTTTTTCATCGACCACTCAAACATAAGTTGTACAACTGTTAATTACGTCATCTCAGCTAGGAATGTGGCAGAGTTGGTGGTGTATTGAGTTCATAAGGGACTGAAAAGACTCACAGAGTCAATCGTGGCCTGATCGTGGCTAGTGAAATCAAATAGCTTGGAGTAGCTTGGGTACTCGCCCTGCGATGCGGGTAGTGATGGGGGCTTCGCCTGCAGGTGAGGAGTCACTCCTGGGGGTCGACCCATCAACATTGTCCTGGACGACTACAAAACATCGCCAAGAACACTTCTCTCACTTGTTTTGGTCCCGTTAAACGCTTTATTGAGGGCTTGTTGGGCGATTTTTTTCAAATGTGTGCTTAAAATTCTTAAACAGTTTTGAGAAAAGGTTGTGGGAAAACACATTTTTTGTGGTGAATTTTCATAAAATACTTATAATATAAATTAGAGTCAAGTAGTTGAACCTAAACAACTTATGTGGAACTTACTGAACTTCTAAATACAATAAGCCTGTATGTTTTTCGTTTTTACAGGCTAATCTAACGGCCATAAATCAATTTAAGAATTGCTCAAATTCTATTGTCACGGCATACAATTTTATCGAACTAAGTTGGAAGTTTTAGAACAAGTGTGAATGTATTTTTGATTCTGAAAAGAGTTTATACTTACGTCGAATATACATTGAGATTTAGTTGCACGTTTAGGTAGGTTTAAATATTGAACTAAGGACCTCGTATTGTGAATGTATGATAACTTTGACAATCTCAATCTGAGCGGTCGTGCTTTTAATTGCGACAAAGAGTCTTAATTGCACCAATCCGTGGTCCCAAAATTAAGCTACGCCAACCCAGGTAAGGGTGAATTGCCGGAAGAAGGAATAACCTTGTTTACGTGTCATCCTAACATAACTTAACCAATTATACAGTCAAAGAGGGCCACCACTTGCGAACCCGTTAATGAACGTATCGGGTGCCTGGAATAGTTGTCGCAATTCAGGAATACCCGACTACCTGACTCAGGTCAGTTGGCGCAATTAATGCCCGCCCTGGTACGAGCTTCACGTTCAGATTGTTCAAGAATTCAAATACAACGCATTTTTTTTCTCTCTAGTGCGCATTAATGTCACTCATCTTGTGTGTAGCCTGAATATTGAGTCCACTCCTCATACCGGACATAAATACACTATAATGGTTGTCTTCTCTTATCCATACGGCAAATCAATAAGAGATTGTGTTTAGTCTGTACTCGCACCTCCGACCCTCGACGCCATGTTGTCCCTAATCCTCACTAACAGCTGATGTAATCCTCTGGAGAGGGTCTAGCCGCAGCCTCACTTCATTAACAGCCCAGTCGCGCACTAGCCGTTACTTACCCCAATGTACTGCATGCGCCACTCACAGGGGGTAATCCTTGTGGGAACGGTCATTAAACGTTCCCATTGCTTAAAATAGACATTATAATTTGAATATTTTTGACGTTTATACAGTCTAATCAACCGTCAATCGATTTAAGAATTGTTCAAATTCGTCACGGCGTACAGTTTTGTCGGAAAGTTGTACGTTTTCAGTGAAGTGTAAATGACGATAGTTAACGATCGTGTATTAATTATGCTTAAGAGTTCCTTAACTAAGCTAAGCCCTCAAAGGGTCTAATTTCCTTAGTTGCCCCCACGTCCAAGCGAGGTAGGGGTGAGTGGGCGCACATGAAAAGAGCCCAAAACTCAGGCAGACGCTTGAAAAGCACCCGGACCTCCAAGGTCCCTTCCAGGACGGTGCGAAAAGAGCCCGAGCTCTTCCTAGAACTTTTTCCCTAGAAATACATGAATTTATTTACAATATTAAAAGATACACTGTTAAAAGATACATTATTAAAATATTTATTATTAAAAGATATCTACATTACTAAAAGATATAGTCTGTTTACCTAACCTAACCTAACTTAACCTAACCTAACCCAAACAAACACAACACTATTTCAGAGCACGAGCAAGCGTCCTCCTCCTCAGGTACCTGTGGAGACCCGGGCTCTTTCCATGCTTAAGATTAGTGAACCTTTTTGAGGATTAAAATTTCGGGCTCTTTTCATGTGCTCCGGGGTGAGTTGCTGGCAGAAGGAATGTCCTTGTTTACATGTCATCCAAACCTATCCTAACCTAACCAAACCCAACCTAACCTAAGCTACTTAATTATACAGTCAAAGAGTGACGCCACTTAGGGTAGTTAATGAACGTATTGGGAGGCTTCCTGTAGTAGTTGGCGCAATTCAAGAATAACCGAATACCTGACTCACGTCAGTTGGCGCAATTAATGCCCGCCCTAGTGAACGCATCGCGTCAGTTTTATTACTCCCTGAACTATTTCCTCAAGGTTTAACCATATATTAAAGGAGTCTGTCTACTTGGGCGGACATTAATACCACCAAATGACCTGAGTCAGGTAATCGGGTATTCCTGAATTGCGCCAACTACTCCTGGGAGCCAACCGATACGTTCATTAACTGTACCAAGTGGCGGCCCTCTTTGACTGTATAATTGAGAAGGTTAGGTTTACTTTAGGTTAGATTAGGTTAGGTCAGTTTAGGATAAATTAGGATTACACGTAAACAAGGACACTCATTTAATCTATGGTTCAACGCGTAGACCTACTTAAACTTACTATCACAGAATGAAGAATAACCACTAGAATGGCTACTCTTTCATCTGAATTAAGAAAACATACTTTAATCGACCTAACCTGAGAAAATTTTTAATGGTTCCCCTCTCTTTATAAAGAACATTAGATCCGTGTATAAATCCCAAAGTGCCCATGAACTTTTGAGAAAACTACAAGTCACACTGTTATATATTCAAGAAGAGTTATTTATGTTATATTATATAGAGGCAAGTTGACCTCACCAAATAGTTTAAATGTTAACTTATCGGGCCTGGTGAAGGAACCAAACCAGGATGAGTCATTCGGGCAAAGTCCAAGAGGCTGACTAGCCGATCGAGAAGGCACAGTGACGGAACGCCGTTCGACGTTATGAACCCGGTGAGTAAAGTCAACTCGTACGCTTACAGTGTTAGTAGCCTAGTCTGCCAGTGTCCTGTACTTGTCCGGTTCTGTTCATTTCCAACGTCCGAGTCATAAAAGTGGCGACGAGGATAAAACTAAAGTTTATTTTACTGTGTGCGGTTAAAACAAGAGTTTTAACGAGTACGTTTGTAAATATTATTACTATTTTTTCTCGCGATTTTCGGAATATTTGTCGTTTTTAGCAGTGTCCTGCAAGTTTGAGTTGGTCAAGTTGAACCTGAAAAACTTTTTCGTACTTTGCAAAGAGAGTAAAAAGTTGGTTTTTGGGTAAATTGGTGGAAGATTTGTATATATTTTGTATATATTTTGTATTGGAGGAGTTTACGAAGAGTATTTTGTGGAAAAATTCCTGGAATTATGGACGGTGGATGCTGATTGCTCAACTGGCAAGTTGGTACCACGTGTTGCACATTGTGCAAGGGATTGTATTTACACTTGTGGCTTCATTTTACCGTAAGTTTGGACTTATTTACTGTAGGCCTATGGAAATAAGGTACAATGGGAACAAAACAAGTATTAGGAAAAATTCAAGAATTCAATGGTGAGTTAGAAACCTTCAAAAACTATGTTGAGAGGTTAGACCAATTTTTTAAAATTAATACGATTAAGAATGAGGACAAGGTCTCTTATTTTATCTCTCTCATGGGCCCTGAATTGTATTCAACCCTTAAAAACATTCTGATGCCAAAAAAACCTAGTGAGGTTACTTATGACGTAATAGTAGCACAGCTTACAGCCCATTTTGTACCTAAGAAGAATATCTCTTATGAGAGGTTTGTTTTTAATAAAAGGAGTCAAAGAGAGGGGGAGACTGTCTCAGACTTTGCTATTCAGTTAAAAAAATTGGCGGCTTCTTGCAAATTTGAAAAATTCTTGGATGATGCCCTTAAAGATAGATTTTTGTGTGGACTCAAATCAAATGATATCCAAAGTAGGTTGTTGTCTGAGGGAGACACTTTAACTTTTGAAAAGGCTTTGGAGTTGGCCTTGGTCCTAGAGGAGGCTAGTAGAAATGTTAAGAGTTTTCATCCTGGAGTGTACCAGAACGACAATCAAATATCTGAGGTTAATTACGTTAAGTATAGGCCTAAACAAAGGTTTGGCCCTAGACCTAGTAGTAGCGAAAGTTTGGGTAGGCCAAGTAATAGTGAGAATTTTGGTAGGCCAAGTTGGCCTAATTCAAGGCAAGGTTTACACCAGTTGTGTACTTGTTGTGGTAGAAACCATGAGAGTAAAAATTGTATGTACAGGACTTACAGTTGTAATATTTGCCATAGGAGGGGTCATTTGGCAAAAGTTTGTCAGCAGGCCGCCAGTAGGCCTAGTACTAGAATTAACTATTGTGATGATGGCGATGAAGTTGTAAATCCTCAACCAGGTGCGGAGCATGATAGTGGTGAAGAAGAGCTTGGGCTGTACACCATAGCCTATTCTGACTCTAAGAATAAATCTGGCGCAATTACAGCTGATGTAATGGTAAATGACGTATGTGTTAAAATGGCTATTGATTCGGGGGCAGTAGTATCAGTGATGCCTGAGGATGTTTTCTTCCGGCTTTACCAGGGGCGAGTGCCTAAGCTAAGGGAGAGTAAAATGAGATTGAAGACTTATACTGGTCAATGTATTGAAGTTTTGGGAGAGTTTCAGGCAAATGTTTCGGCTGGAGATGAGTCGCATGTTCTGCCGCTGGTGGTTGTACGGAATGAGCAACCAAATCAACCTTCGCTTTTGGGGCGAAACTGGTTGGCGAGACTTAAGTTAAACTGGAGGGAGATCATGAGGAACTGGCAACCAAAGAGTGGGACTGTCATGCAGCTTGAAGGTAGGAATGTTCCATATACATCTACTTCTAGTGTTGAGGATTTAAAATCAAGATTTCCTACTGTTTTTGAGCCTGGTATAGGAACAATTAGAGATATTAAAGTAAACCTAGTGTTGAAAGAAAATGCCAATCCGGTCTTTTGCAAGGCTCGTAACGTACCATATGCGCTGCAGGATGCGCTTGAGAAAGAAATCGATAACTTAATCAGGAATGAAGTGATGTATCCTGTGACCCAAACTAATTGGGCCACTCCTGTTGTTTTGGTTGAAAAGGGTAACAACTCTATTAGAATTTGTGGTGACTTTAAACAGACAATTAATCCTCAGTTACGCACAGATTATTATCCACTCCCTACTCCAGATGAGATTTTTGCTAAAATTGCTGGTTCAAAATTGTTCTCAAAAATTGATTTGTCAGCTGCATATAATCAACTTAGAGTAGACGAAAACTCTCAGGAGCTTCTAACGATTAATACGACTAAAGGTTTATTTCGTTATTCTCGCCTCCCTTTCGGAGTGACAAGCGCTGGGGCCATTTTCCAATCCGTCATGGACAAGATTTTGAATGGGTTGGATAGAACATTTTGCTATCTAGATGACATTTTGATTGTGGCTCAAACTCATGAGGAAATGCACCGAAATGTGGTTGCAGTATTGTCGAGACTAGAGCATTATGGGGTAAAAATAAACCCAGCTAAGAGTGAATTTTTTAAGGATAGCCTAATTTTCTTAGGGCATAGGCTAAGTGAAAATAAAATACAGCCTAGTGAAGAACTGTCTAAAGCTATTGTTAGTGCTCCCAGGCCAGAAAATTTGACACAGCTACGATCCTACCTGGGGTTGATCAATTATTATAGTAAATACCTCAACAACTTGTCTAATTTGCTTCAACCATTGTATGGTCTGCTAAACAAGGGGGTCAAATGGGGTTGGTCTGAACAGTGTGAGGAAGCGTTCCAGAAGAGTAAGGAGATTTGTTAGGAGATAGAGTTTTGATTCCATACGACCCAAAGTTAAAAGTGATTGTATCAGCTGATGCCAGTCCTTATGGGGTAGGAGCGGTTATCTCACACCAAATGCCTGATGGGTCTGAGCGACCCATAGCCTATGCTTCCCGAACACTAACGGTGCATGAAGTGAAATACTCGCAAATAAAGAAGGAGGCCCTCGCCTTAGTGTTTGCAGTAAAAAATTTCACATTTTCCTTTATGGCAAGAAGTTTCTTTTGGCTACTGATCACAGGCCTTTGACGTTTTTATTAGGCCCTACCAGGAGTATACCTACCTTAGCCGCTGCCCGTGTGCAACGTTGGGCTCTGATCCTATCGGCCTATGAATATGAGATTGTTTACAAGAAGGGTTGTGATATGGCCAATGCCGATGGGCTTTCAAGGTTACCATGCCAAAATGAGAAGCCGGGACCGGAAAACACAGTTGCGTTTTTCTCCATAGCAAACGAACTACCGGTTACTGCCAAAGAAATTAGTACAGCAACTCGTTACGACCCGATCTTGTCAAAGGTTCTTGATTTTACGATCCATGGATGGCCAGAATACGTAAGCAACGAACTTCTGAAACCGTATGTTGTGAGGAGCCATGAATTGTCCGTGGATGGAGATTGTGTTTTGTGGGGGAGGAGAGTTATTATCCCGGAACCGTACCGGAAAGAAATCTTGTTTTTGCTACACAAAGAGCACCCTGGAGGCTCAAGAATGAAAAACCTGGCACGTGGGTATGTATGGTGGCCGAAAATGGACTCGGATATTGAAGAGCTGGTTAAAGGCTGTGGGATTTGCCAATCAACTCGCAACGCTTTGCCCCTTGCCCAATTACAGCGCTGGTCTTGGCCTAACCAGCCCTGGCAGAGAGTCCATGTGGATTTTGCGTCTTTCCATAACAAGGAATTCCTAATTCTGGTGGACAGTTACTCTAAGTGGCTGGAAGTGTTTCAAATGCAAACGACAACATCGGCAAAGACAATTGAAAGATTGAGATCTTGTTTTGCGGTATTCGGACTGCCTTGTACTCTGGTGAGTGATGGAGGACCTCAATTGAGATCCCAGGAATTTGAAGAATTCTTAAAGGCAAATGGCATTTTGCATGTAGTTAGTCCGCCTTATCATCCGGCTAGTAACGGCCTCGCTGAGCGTGCTGTCCAAACTACTAAGAACACCTTTTTGAGACAAATGCTGCAAGATGAAATGTCTAAATCTAACAGGTCCGTTCAACATCGCATTGATAGTTTTTTATTTGTGTATAGAAATACACCACATACAGCAACCGGTTGTTCCCCAGCAGAAATGTTTTTCAAATTCAAGCCTAGGACTCATCTTTGTTTGTTAAAGCCACATTTGGAAGCTAAGGTCAACGAAAATCAAGAACGTATCATTCAGACAAGGAACAAGGGGGTAACTCCCAGGAACTTTGATGTGGGACAAAAGGTATTCGTAAAAAGCGTCAGGAATGAAAGGTTAAGCTGGCTGCCTGGTATTGTTGCAAAAATTGTAAGTCCCATGACCTATTTAGTGAAGACCGAGGGCCGTACAAGATTTGTTCATGCCGACCACTTACGTGAGAACCATGTGGTGTCAGAGGATGAAGAGGATACAATAATTCCATGCCCAATACCAACTACGCAAATTATTAAATCACCCCCTGCAAGGCTGGATGTAGGAATTCCTGTACCTAGTACTCAGCCAGAGACATCTGATGTGCAAGAAAGTGTATCCCCATCCAACGAAGTCAAGAATAAAAGTCCAGGCCCGCATAAGAGTCCTAAGGTGCTTTTGCGTCGATCTCAAAGAGAGCGGCGAGCGCCTACAAAATTAGATTGGTAAAAAAGATTTGGTTTCCCCCCAAAAGAAGAAGTTGTTTATTTTTGTTTTATAATCGGTTGGGAGGGAATGTTATATATTCAAGAAGAGTTATTTATGTTATATTATATAGAGGCAAGTTGACCTCACCAAATAGTTTAAATGTTAACTTATCGGGCCTGGTGAAGGAACCAAACCAGGATGAGTCATTCGGGCAAAGTCCAAGAGGCTGACTAGCCGATCGAGAAGGCACAGTGACGGAACGCCACGCCATTCGACGTTATGAACCCGGTGAGTAAAGTCAACTCGTACGCTTACAGTGTTAGTAGCCTAGTCTGCCAGTGTCCTGTACTTGTCCGGTTCTGTTCATTTCCAACGTCCGAGTCATAAAACACACCCCCATTAAACCATATACAGTACTTAAAGGAAACTTTCCATATATCTAATGTTAAAAATACCCCAGCTGTACTTATTTGTTTGTTATTCTTTCAATTTATTACCTTATTAAAATCGGGTGTGATTATTTGTTTGTATTACTGTATTCTGTTTTGTTTATTTCAGCTTAACTTAACCAATCAATAGTTTTTTTAATGCTTATGATGTCAAACGGGATGAAGCCCGTGGGTAACAGCTAGTTATAGAGCTAAAACATTTTTATGCATTATCTTTCATACTACAAAACGACAAGTTGGTTTTATTACCCTTAATTTAGTGGGTAATAAGTATAATCTATATATTAATGTTTTTAAAACCTTTTTCCGAGTTTGTGTTCATCACAGGGAAACTCTATGCATACTATTAAAAAAAAATTTCCTGTAGGTGTGCAGAATCCCTTCATAAATTAAAATAGTCTAAAAAAGCACGAATAATGAATTTAAAATTTAATAGAATTAACATAGGACTTGTAGGTTGCCATGTTAGTGACAAAATAACAACGAAATATAAACAGAAAATCAAAACAAATGGATAAAATTCCAATCACATGTTTTATTTCCAACGTGGGGTGTAAATAGAGAAGTCTGTACATTACATTATTTTGGTCAAGTTTTTGACCACTGAACGACCTCTAGTAAAATCAGCAGATGGCCCACTTGGTACTCTACACACTACACCATGTCCGAGCTAACTGCAGTCATTTTCAGGACAATATTAATTGTAGTATATTGCCTACTAAATACGACACAAAATTTTTATAGCATGTTTTAAAAGATTTTCCAAACCTAACCAAACTATATTCACCCCTTTGACTCTAAATCTTGACTGTATCCGTAGCCGATTGTCGGATTCACGAGTCATGTAACTGTCGGTGAGCAAGGCAAGGGTTGATAACTGAGGGGTGTAACCCTGCTCATGGAACAAGTCGAATTAAGACGCCAACAAGCTGCGCCACCCCTTCGCCCTCCCATTCAAGTCTCCGGGTCGGTTTCAATGGCTACAATTTCACACACAAACGCGCGTGCATTGTTCATGTAATTATGTGTTATATGTCGAGGTACACTCCCCTTGTGACGTAGCTGTAATAACTTGATGGTTTCAGATTTCGGTAAACATAGCTGTGTGTGTTGAGTGAGTGTAGGAAAGGGTTGGTAATAATTAAGGGCGAAACTTAAAGTTTGCATTTTGTCATTTTTGTCCTTTTAAGCATACTGAAAGCAAAACCAGTTTTAAATACGAAAATGCCTTGAGGGGATGAAGTAATTCTCTTTATCCCTAAGGAAAATAAATTCACAGCAGTTGACATGACAGTTGTAAATATTTTCCATTGTAAATCGGTTTTGACGAAGAAATTAATTTAAATATATTATTTATAAGACTACGTTTTATAAACTAAAATAAATTCCAGCTTAGTAGAGCAAGGGATTGTAAAGATACCACATGGATGAGGTTTTCTAGCCGGATAATCAGATTACTATCTTAATTATTTTACTTTACCCTGGTATATGGTGGTAACACTGGCATTGGAACTTTAGATGCGAAATCTATATATACAGGGTGATTTGTACTCAGTGTGACAAAATTTTTTTGGTGTAAGTTCAAAGTAAATGAAGTGTGATGATGCATATCAAATTTTCCAAGTCTAAAAATTAGCTTCCCAAAAAAATATTTTATGTTTTTAAAAAATAACCATGTTTTAAAACTTAATACAGCGATTTTTCAATTACCTGTATATGGATTTGAGTAGATAATGTAATTTTCGTGTTCTACATTAAATTTTGAACAAGAATAATAGAAAATGACGGAGAATCAGTTGTAAAAACTCCATTGTAAATAGATTCAAAGATAAAAATTAAGACGTTTGATAAAAAATTTAAAAACAATGGTCTATTCCATTTTTCACACCCTGTATACAAGAAAGTGCCGGAATATGTTAAAAACTGTGCCATTTTATAAGCTTTCCAACGATATGCTACACTATTGAGGTTTATGTCAGCTTATGAACGCTTTAATGGTTTGAAGACTACAAAGCATGGTGTCTTTAACATTTAAAACATAGAAAGTCGGCATGTATTAAGAAAAAGTTGTATTTTTGTTTCAGCTTGAACAGTAAAAACAGTAAAAAAGTTCCATGTTTTCTGGTATTCAAACCACTAAAACAAACAAAAAAATATCTAAACCTCAATAGTGTAGCATATGGTTGGAAAGCTTATAAAATGGTACAGTTTTTAACATATTCTGACACTTTCTTGTATACAGGGTGTGAAAAATGCAATAGACCATTGTTTTTAAAATTGTTATCAAATATCTTAGTTTTTATCTTGGAATCTATTTACAATGGAGTTTTTACAACTGATTCTCCGTCATTTTCCATTATTCCTGTTCAAAATTTAATGTAGAACACGAAAATTACATTATCTACTCAAATCCATATACAGGTAATTGAGAAATCGCTGTATTAAGTTTAAAAGCATGGTTATTTTTGAAAAACATAAAATAATTTTTTGGGACGCTAATTTTGAGACTTGGAACATTTGATATGCATCATCACACTTCATTTACTTTGTACTTACATCAAACAAATTTTGTCACACTGAGTACAAATCACCCTGTATAATTCCGTAAGTCAAATTTTTGTAAAGAAATTGTGAGTGACTGGATGGCCGTAGAAGGATGGGAGGGGTCTTATTTTAAAGGTCTTGACGTGAATTTTGAGGGAAAACTATTCATTTTTCTTATTTTTTTACCATAAATACGCAACAGAATAAAACTTTTCCCATTAAAACAACATGGGGTTTAATTAGTTTACATCTTTTGAAATTAAAACAGCTGTGCCACAGATTTGAAAACAGTGATCAATACACGCATTTGGTTTACTTTTAGCCAGTCAACTATGAAATGTATACTATAATAAAACTGAAATATTGAAGATTAGTCGGAAAAACGTCTGCATTCTTTGTTTATATTTAAATCATATACTCAAGTTTCATTTTTTCATGCTTTTACGTTATTGTCGTGTTAAAGGAATAAACGACATTGAATAAATATTCTGTATAAATAATCAAAGAGTCGAAATTAAATCTAACTTCTGTTTTGTTTTTATTTTTAAATCATATGTTCAAGTTTATTTTAAATTATGTTGTTTTCTTTATATTTCTACACATTTAAGGTTAAGGTTGTGTAAATATATACAACTAAAATAACCTATAAATGTTATTGGTTCTAAAATGGTGTATTTGCATTCCTTCGTAAGTAAATTTTTTTAGTGCAGTGAATATACAACGTAGAGTAATCATATTCGATCATACTTTTATAAAATCACCAGGGATTCAAGATGTTTTGGTATGTAGGCTGCTGGATATATATTCTTTTCATTATAAGTACTGTAATTAATATGAACGCCAGGGGAATACCACAAAGGCGGGGAACTGTTCATAGGAATAACAGTGCGCGTAGGAGAGCAAGAGTAGATAATGACGAACTTAATCAAGATATGTTACAACCCCTTTTTAGGAGACCCATGGTAGACGAGAGAAATGTAAAGATCCATGATGCAGGATTACTGGACCAATTTAGTGCTCTTCATTTTAGAGAAGAACTAACGAATAATCATTTTATGACATGTTGCCATAACGGACTTATTAACCTTCCTCAGTCAAAAACTAATGTAGAACTTAAAAGTTTGTTTGAAGAGAGCCCACAACTGTATAAATTCATTCGACAATGCAACAGTGCGATGGCTTTTGCTTATTTTTCAGCCAGTAAGAAAGATATTCCAGGAAAAGGACCATACTGTTTCAAAATTCAAGGACAGATTTATCGTTCAATCTCAGATTTGCTGCCTCAACATGATGAAGACCCCGTGTATGGCCAATTGTACATTATTGACACATCAACAGCAACAGAAATTCGTCAAAGGCGTCGAGAAAATAGTAACTTAAAACCTGAAATATTGTCAAAACTAGCTGAAATTCTATTAGAAAATCCATTTGCACAAATTTACAAAAGAGCTTCGGAAGAAATGGTTGTACAAGGTGACAGTGAATTAGAACTTAGGTTTGTAGACAGGATAAATATGGATCGTCGTAGGTATAATAAGCCTACTGCAGATGAAATTGCAGGCGTCTTCAATTCATCTGAAGGCGAACCTCCAATGAATTTTTAAAATTCCAAACAGGGAAGCTTTTATTTATCCTCATTAAGCCAAAGCTACCTTAGTAAACCAGTATTTATTCACAAACAATGATATGTTTTCTGCCTTTTCATGTTAAACCACTGGAGTGATTCAAATTATTTATTGAAAATGACATCAACAAAAGCAAACAAAGAAGAACAACAAACTGGTTTTTACACAAAAGATATGGTGTACGGATGCCCATTCTGACACATAGATAATGTTATTCTGAGTTTGTTTAAATACCGGTATTGCAAAAAGTTGTTTTACATTTGAGCTTTTTAGGGACTTATGTCCCTACAAGCCACTAGTAACATACATAATTTGGTTTAGATACGATGATTTTTATGATTATATCACCATTTTCGTCTGCATTTACTACGGGCCTTTGTCATTTACCCAGATTATGGTTGTG